ACAATTCGAACATCCTTGAAAATTGATTGAACCTGCTGTTGATGCAGGTAGAATGTTCTCACTACACGGATTATTTGTCAATATTTGTTGCATTGCATACATATGGCACGGCATTGGTGGTAACTTCACATATTTATTAGAGTTAATTGTTTCGGTTGCAGAAAAAATAGCATGTTTCATTCGGATCAAAAGTGACTTTGTTCGACTCGCAAATTTTGCTTTGGCTCGGCTTCGCTAAACTCTCCGCCTCGCAAATGCAAAATTCGCTTGTCAAACAAAGTGTCACTTTTGATCCTGATAAAACAATCTACTATTCCTTCTACAATGATAATTATTAAAACACAAAATATGAATTAATTTTATACTTAGAATTTAAATACTCAATGTACATTGCATAAGACAATAATGGATGAGGTTATACAATCATTGGTGCTTTACTAATTTCGAGGAATTACTTTTATTATTGGATCTAACAGAGGTACTTAAAATTTGGTAGACTTTTACATTTCTCTCCCTGGCTCCAAACATTCGAGTATATTTCTACAAAATATTATGTCTAAGCAAGATATTTATTTCCAATTCTATAAAAAACAGTAGCCAAGGAGTACATTTATATATTGTCTATAAAACACATACATCACATTTTGTCTATTACAAATCTATGTACATCAATCAATCAAATCAAGTCCCTGTTGAACCGGATAGAAAATAAATAACAATCATGGATGTAATGCATTAAGTGCGAATATTTGTGAATGGTACTGAAATGCACTATAATACAATCACCGGCAAAAAAAAAACGGCCGGCAAAAATTTTTGCCAAATTGATCACCCTGTAACTTTCTTAATTCTTCACCGATTTTGGTGAAACTCCGACCAAATCGTACATTAACATTTCGAAATTTTAACCTGAATTTCAGTTTACAAAAAGCTGATTGCTTGATTATTATACAGGGAAAAACAAAAGGTACTCTTCCATGCTTAATTTTTTAACGCCCTGTGGCAAAAGGGTGTTTAAACTTTGCTTCATCAAGTAAACTGTGATCTCTTCTTAACACAATAATAGTTCTTGATTCACGTCAATATCTTCTTCCCAATTGAAGATACATGTGCTTTAAGAAAGTATGTTTTTTTTAAATTAAATCTACAAGAACTTATTAATTCACAATTGGAAAGCACATGAAAAGATTGATATCCCATTCCAAAATAAGGATATCTATCATGGAGATCTTGGAAACCATGAAAAATACGAAGCTAAATTAGAGAAAAGTTGCGAATTTTCAAGCCTAACATCATGCCGTTTATGTTCAAAATTTAGAGAAGTTTCGGAGATATGCCTAAAAAAACAAAATTTGCTGATTTCCTTTCAATTTTTTCCTGGCGTTTTTTATGAAGATATAGGAAAGCAACATACTTTTCCACTACCACTTTTTCTCTCTCTTTAAAACAGCATTGTGATTATATACAGGTAAGATGATACAAGGTATACTTTTTTTACGGGCCAAATAAAAAAATAAAGTTGATGGTGGTTTCTCCAAAACAAAATGTTGTCTCAACGCCGTTTTGTACAGCTTAAAAAGTGGGAATGAGAAAATGTCTTGTTTTCCTATACAGGGTATGTCACGACGAGTTTACACTATCTCTATATTGAGAATCAGTAGGGAGAAATACATGAAAATATACAGGCTATATTTTACAATAGGCTCTCTTCTTTAAAAATAATTTTTTGCAATGCAGTGTTGCCGCTTCTATCAAAAAGTAGGAACAACTTTGTTATTTCAAATAGAATACCCTGTATTTAATTGTATTTTTAGATTCTCCCTGAAAAGCTGATTTCATCAATACACCAAACATGGGGTTTTCGGAAATGATTACAGAGATATAGGGTGTTCAAAATCGAGATTTTTCAACTTTAGGATTTATTTGTGTCAAAACTATTCATTATCGGCCAAAACGGCTCTTATGTCCCTATCTCAACTTTTGATTTACTATTTACTGAAGTTTAATCGGAAAAGATACAGGGTGGTTCAAGATTCAGAATTCTGATCACCCTGTATCTGTTCTGATTAAAGATCAGTAAATAGTGAATCAAAAGTTGAGATAGGGACATGTGAGGCGTTTTGACCGATAATGAATAGTTTTGACACACACAAATCATGAAGTTGAAAAATCTATATTTTGAACACCCTATATCTCTGTTATCTTTTTCGATAGACCCCAGATGTGATATATCGATAAAATCAGCTCTTCAGGGAGAATCTAAAAATGCGATAAAATACAGGGTGTTCCATTTGAAATATCAATGTTGCTACAACTTTCTAGTAGAAGCGGCAACACTGCATAGTCGAAACTATTTCAAATGAAGAGAGCATATTCTAAAATATACGCATGCACATTTTCATGGATTTCTCCCAACTGATTCTCCATATAAAGATAGTGTAAGCTTGTCATGACTTACCCTGTATTTCTTTGAATAACATCAAGAAAAATTGAAACTCATGTGGCAAATTTCGGTTTTTCAAGCATATCCCCGGAACTACTGTAAATTTTAAAACTTTCTGAACAGCATATTGTAAGACTTGAACATGGTCAATTTTTATCTAATTTAACCATCTTCCTATCTCTTATGGTTTCAGAGATCCCTATGATAAACATCTTGGACACCCTGTATACTTTTTTAAATCACTTGTGTCTTCTCTCAAAAAGAAAATATCAAGAACCAATGTGTTATGAAGGGACAGAAAGAAATCACACCTCAAACCAAAATATGATGAAGCAGAAGATTGGGCCAAATAAAAAAATGAAGCTGATGGTTTCTCCAAAACAAAATGTTGTCTCAACACCATTTTGTACAGCTTAAAAAGTGGGAATGAGAAAGTGTCTTGTTTTCCTATATGTATATCTTTGGATAATGTAAAAATATTGAAATTAATTCAGCAAACTTAGGTTTCTAATGCATATCTCCGGAACTACTGTAAATTTTAAAACTTTCTGAACAGCATATTGTTAGACTTAGAAATGAGCAACTTTTCTCTAATTCAACCATCTTCCTATCTCTTATGGTTTCAGAGATCCCTATGATAAACATCTTGGACACCCTGTATACTTTTTAAATCACTTGTGTCTTCTCTCAAAAAGATGATATCAAGAACCAATGTGTTATGAAGGGACAGAAAGAGATCACACTTTAAACCAAAATATGATGAAGCAGAAGATTGGGCCATATAAAAAAATAAAGCTGATGGTTTCTCCAAAACAAAATGTTGTCTCAACGCCATTTTGTACAGCTTAAAAAGTGGGAATGAGAAAGTGTCTTGTTTTCCTATAAGTATATCTTTGAATAACATAAAAATATTGAAATTAATTCAGAAAATTTCGGTTTTTAAAGCATATCTCCGGAACTACTGTGAATTTCAAAACTTTCTGAACAGCATATTGTAAGACTTGAAAATGTTCAACTTTTCTCTGATTTAACCATCTTCCTATCTCTTATGGTTTCAGAGATCCCTATGATAAACATCTTGGACACCCTGTATACTTTTCAAATCACTTGTGTCTTCTCTCAAAAAGATGATATCAAGAACCAATGTGTGAAAGGACAGAAAGGGGCCACACTTCAAACCAAAATATGATGAAGCAGAAGATTGGGCCAAATATAAAAATAAAGCTGATGGTTCCTCCAAAACAAAATGTTCAACGCCATTTTGTACAGCTTAAAAAGTGGGAATGAGAAAGTGTCTTGTTTTCCTATATGTATATCTTTGAATAACACAAAAATATTGAAATTAATTCAGCATATTTCGCTTTTTAAAGCATATCTCTGGAACTACTGTAAATTTTGAAACTTTCTGGGCAAATTTTCTCTAACTTAACCATCTTCCTATCTCTTATGGTTTCAAAGATCCCTATGATAAACATCTTGGACACCCTGTATACTTTTTAAATCACTTGTGTCTTCTCTCAAAAAGATGATATCAAGAACCAATGTGTTATGAAGGGATGAAGCAGAAGATTGGGCCAAATAAAAAAATAGAGCTGATGGTTTCTCCAAAACAAAATGTACAGCTTGGAAAGTGGGAATGAGAAAGTGTCTTGTTTTCCTATATGCATATCTTTGAATAACATGAAAATATTGAAATTAATTCAGCAAATTTCAGTTTTTAAAGCATATCTCTGGAACTACTGTAAATTTCAAAACTTTCTGTACAGCATATTGTAAGACTTGAAAATGTTAACTTTTCTCTAATTTAACTATCTTCCTATCTCTTATGGTTTAAAAGATCCCTATGATAAACATCTTGGACACCCTTTATACTTGTTTTCCTATATGTATATCTTTGAATAATGTAAAAATATTAAAATTTATTCAGCAAACTTTGGTTTTCAATGCATATCTCCAGAACTACTGTAAATTTTGAAACTTTCTGAACAGCATTTTGTTAGACATCTTGAACACACTATTTTTTTAAATCACTTGTGTCTTCTCTCAGAAAGAGATATCAAGAACCAAGGAATAGAAAAGGATCACACTTCAAACCAAAATATGATGGTGGAAGGTTGGAGAATGGTTCTGAATTTTTGTTGGTAAACAATAAAAAATTCCATAATTTCTGAAAACACTTGTAACTTTTCTTAAAAAAATATATAGATTGAAGTGAATCAAAAACTATTGTGTTTAGGACCACACAATCCAAAATTTAATGAAACTAAGCTCAACCAATCACCTCTGCCACATGGAGTTTAGAAGTCAAGAGTGAAAGATTTATTTTTTCCTGTACAATGATCCAAGTCATCACCTTTTTCTAAGAGTTAAAATTCATACCAACACTCCTAAAATAAATCTATCCTTTGGTCAAAATTTTACCAGAATCAGATAGGAATTGAAAAAGTTACAACTTGGCTGAATTTTTTGCTGGCCAGTTTTTTTTGCCAGTGAGTATACATCATCAGTGAGTGAAGCAGTGAATGGAAAATCAGTCACTGAAAGAGAGAGAGCCGGCTCACTTATTCAGCCAAGGCTGCTTCAGACAATCTGCTGCAGTGGCACGCTTCTCAGGATCAAAATCCAACATGGGTCTCAGGAATGCTGCAAAATCCTCTGCCTCCTCTCTAGCCCAATCATACTTCTCAGTTAAAACATCCTCCATCGCCCAAGGCTTCAGACCAGTGATATGGCGCAGCTCGTTCTTCTTGTTAAAGAACAATTTAGAGCATTTGCCACTTTGAGCTATGCGTCTGGGTATGTTCCCAAGCAGCTCAATAATGTGGGCCAAGTGGTCTTCGTCTCTGCAATAATCTTCTCCTGAATGGGGCTCAAAGAGGTAATCTCCTGTAGCTAGTTCGAAAGCCATGCAAGCAGTGCTCCAAATGTCTGCAGAGGTGTTGTAGCCTGCTCCCAGCAACACCTCCAGAGATCTGTATTGTCTAGTTTGAATGTCTTCTGTGAAATGTTTATCCACCCAGCAGGCATTACCCAAATCAGCTATCTTAACTTCGAAATCACATTCTACAAAGGCAGGGTCTAGTTCAATTTTATTCTCACTCTTGTCATTCGAGGAGGGTGAATCGTCCTCAGATATATGCATCATTTGCTCTACCACAGTTTCTCCACCACCAATTTCCTCCACACAGCCATTAGGCAATTTATCCTCAGTTTCTGGGGTGGTTTCTGGACTGGGGCTAGGACAATGGCACTCTGGATCACCATTGATGACATCTCCATTTTCATGCACCTTTTTTTGCTCCTCTATTTCTATGATCTGCTCCATTTGACGCTTGAGCAGTTCATTCTGTCTCTTGGCTTTCTTCTTCAGTTTCTTCTTTTTGTTCTTACTCATCTTGGTCTGTTGAGATTCCATGATGGGGGCAGTGCTGACAAGTGAGGTGGGTAGTTTCATGCCCAGCTGATGCATTTCAGCTGCCTCACAAGCTAGTCTGCGAATGGCTTCTTCATTAATGCAAATCAAAACATTTTCAGGTTTGATGTCAGTGTGGATGATTTTACATTTGCTGTGCAAGTAGTCTAAACCTTCTAGGACCTGTCTCATGATAGTACGCACATTTGCTAAGGGAATTCCACGATAATTGGACTTGATGATTAACTTCAACAAGTGGTGTCCCAAAACTTCAAAGACCATACAAACATGAACACCATTCACTCCACTTATCTTGAAGTCATTCAAGAGCTGAACAGTTTTGTTGCGCTTGGGATCAGAAGGATCAGATTCTCTCACTGCCTTCAGGATTTTAACTTCATCCATTGCAGTTTCAGTAAAGTGACCAGCAGACTTTACAATTTTCAGAGCAACGAACCTTTTATCTTCCAAATCCCAGCAAAGCCATACAGTGGAAAAATGGCCCCAACCTAATTTTCTCGTTACATGGTATCTACCCAGAAACAGGTCACCAATTTTGACAGGATGGTAACCTCCTTTGCGATAATCGGTGCTATCTTCTTGTTCCTCTTCTTCACTGGTATATGGGTCATCAGGATCTTCAATGGTTTCATTACTGGAACTATGCGACGGTTCGTTTTTCGAATTATGTCGATTTTCTCCACCATGACCATTCATATCGTTTTTTCCTTTCTTTTTTCCAGGCTTGTGTCTCTTCTTCTTTGCCTGAATGGCCAAGACACGTCTGTTTACGTCCAATTTTGCGCTCATTTGTATAACTCTTCACTCTTCTGGATAATTAAAAGCACAAAAACTATGTATAAATTAATGTCAAATGACCATAATTTCCTAGAAAACACCTTTGTTGATTATGGAATATGGATTATGATGGCCGTCTCTCAGTAACACAGAACAAGAAACGGCTATCGGCATGGTAAACTGCAGAGAACACCAGAAAATAAACCGGTAAACATCACAGAACCACAATCTGTTGAACATCTCTCTGTTAAGCATGGTTCACATGCAAACATTGCGCGTTTTTTTCTATTGAAAGCTCTCTACCAAAGAATAGTTAAAGGTGAGTTCCCAATGCAGCTTTTTTGCTTCTCGCCTCACGCGCCACGCATTATGATTGGTGACGCGTAAATGAGCATTGCTGCACACTTTTTCTTTATTTTCTACAGTTCCCAATGAATTTACCTATCATTGTCGATGTGGTTGAAGTTTGCATCGGAAAATCATGAGAATATCTGAGAATACTGAAATTATAGGATAATGCTTACAAGATACAGAGCTGCATCACATAAATAATTCATCAAAAACGAAAATTGCATAGTGAAAATGTGATAATTAGGTAGGTACTCACTTCAGTGATACTGCAATGATTTACTCATCATCAGATCACTTTCAGAAATGAGGGTTTAATGAAGTTGCATTCAAAATTTCAACATTTTCATGAAAAGCAACGCCAAAAAGTTAAAATATTTTTATTTCTGACAGTGACATTATAAGCTTATATCGTCATAGTTACGATATCTATTATGAGGGTCATAACTCCCTTGGGATGTTATAGATGCTATAATTCCCTCTAAATAAAATTAAATAAGAAATGCATAGCAACAACCACGCAGTAACGTAGCAATAAGGAATCTCCTATTCGCGGTAGTCAAGATCATCATCTGACGTTCTGATGACATTGAAACTATACGGAAAAACATGTCTAACTTCCAATCATTAAGGTATCTAATGAATGAAATCAGTCAGAAATAAAATTATCTATGTATCACGGGAATTACTGAGCCTCAATAACCTCAGGCAATTGCTGTCCCTCGGGCCAGAGGCCCTCGGGACGCAAACTTTGCCATCGGTAATTAAGTCCCTCATAATTCCCTTAATACATAAATAACTATAACTTCATCGCGTCAAATATTTTTCAAATTCAGCGTCACCAATCAGGTTGCATGACGCGCGACGCGTAAAGCGAAAACGCTGCATTGGGAACTCACCTTAAGGGTGAAAAAATTTGAAAACTGAATAATTATATTCAAAAACTATATAAAATTCCTTTCGTGGGTTCCAAGAGACAATAAAAGAAAAGGAGATACATTATCAGAACGATTTCGAACCACTGTTCTTCTTACCAGTTCAATTTACTAAATTAAAATCTATATTTTTACTATCTTGTTCCTATTTTCCAGTAGAGATATTCCGGGTCTTCCTATATCAACGGAATGTATTCAACCTTTATGACGAAAATGTTCTTATAGTTTGTTGAATTTATTCACATAGGTATTTGAAGAATTGGTATATCCAGGTATATCCAACTTTGACATTACTTGGGACTTTGATCATCCTCTATTATCTAAGGGACTTTTAATTAAGAATACAATATTAACTTAGGCGTTTAGTTATTTTTCCTTAAACCTTAAATTTGTACAGTGCATTACATATTTACAACATAATGAGAATGTGTATCTAATATTTATAAGGATAAACCCTATGATGAAAAAATCTACAGTTTTCAAATCTATACATATTATGCTAATCATAGCACCATCACATTTATGGAACATTCTAGTAATCCCAAAAAAAAATTGTTCAAGTAATTACAATGTAGCTAATATTCTTGTGAATCCCATGCAACCAGTTAAAATAGTTTGACCACATCCCCAAAAAAGAGCATACAATGGATTCATTGGTAAACTGGATGCTCTGTAGACAAAGGCAACTGCAGCACTGCTAACAATCCCTGTTACAGCTGGAGTAATCACCCCCATGAGAAGTATTGCAATTGGAAAAAATTTGCCAAATTTATGCTTTCTCAATGTGAGAAATGCAATAAGTCCAGCAATCTGAAAGAAATACATTCAGTAGAAAATTAGGAGACAAGAAACAGAGTATTGCTTATCATTAACAGAACTGGCTGAAAAGGCTATAAAATACAGAATTAAAATGTTTGAAAAACACTCACTGTATGGACTAATATTGAAGAAAATAAGGCCCACAAGAAGACGTGATACCACATCTTCATGAAGGTGTTGAGTGCATCAGCCTGTTGAAGCCAGAGCACTGTTCCAACAGAATCTAATTCATAGTTTTTAGACATTTTCAGTACCGATCTGTAGTCCTTTTCTATGTAACATTGTCGACACCGATGCTGAATTCGTCCATCCTCAAAACGATTTTCAATGGACGGTCTAGGACTTCTAGCTTCTAGGAGACCCAAGACAAAAATTGAAAATTGTATTTTGAATTTGAAGGTATTTGTATTGTGAGTATAGACTTTGTATCCTTACCCTATCAAAGTATTTGCGAAACTGATGTATAATTCCTCATTACAAAGCTGACAATTAATTCAAAAATTTTAAAATAATATATTTATGTTGTTGTTTGTTTTGTTGGCCTTATCAGTATCATTTTTGAAATATTGACTGAAAAGTGACAATTGACTGAACAATCAATGACAAATTGGCAAATGTCAAATTATTCACTGCAATACACAGAACAAAAACATCAGATGAAATACACAGAATGAAGATGAAACCAATGATGGCTAAAAATCTGGACCGTCTGACGGATAACCCGTCAAACAGTCCAGATATTTAGCCGTCATTGTTGAAACACTCAGTGCAAACTTGTACCAGTGGAGGTCTGTTCATTTGTGTTGCTGAACTTGCTAAAGTTGATTTTGTTCCCATAGTTTTATCTGTTCATAGCATAATGTAAAAAAAGAAAGTCATAGAGAAAAATCAAGTCTAGCAGGTAGAGCAAACACAAACGAACAGCATTGGAACTTGCCATTAGTCAAAATCGTGACAGTGAGTGACATAGTAATGTCAATGTCAGTAATCCACTCTCATTTGAAGGTTAGGTTTCGCCCTTTAAAATCCTAAAAAAACTTAACAGGAATCAAAATCAATAATGAATGTGGATGAATTACCTGACGAAAGTGATAGTAGCGATGAAGATTATGATCCTGGAAAACAGGAGGATGCCCCATCAGAAGTGGACTCCGATGGAGAACCAGAAGATATTTTATCAGGTTCTGAAGAAACCATCGAGAATGGATCCAATAAGACAAGACGAAAGAAAAATAAGAAACAGAATAGAGTGAAATCAAATAAACGCGGAAGTGAGGGAACAGGTGAGTCCCAGATAAAAAACACTAAACTTCTTAACTTGATCGAAATATATGTGTTGTGAGTCTAATTTCAGTTGTTTCACAGGTATTGAGGAAGTTAATGAGAATAAAGGAAGTGTGGAGGAACAAAAGCAAAATATTGATGATATTTGGGCAGATTTCATGAAGGATACAGGTTTCAAATCCAAAAATAATACAAACCCAGCAGAACCTGAAACTCCAAAAAGTAAACTAAATGAGCCAAAAAGTGGACCCCAAAAATCAGTAGATGAAATCAATAATAAACCTTCAGAAAAAGTGAAAATCACTCAGGTATTTGAATTTGCTGGTGAAGAAGTGAAGGTTGTGAAAGAAGTGGCAGTAGATTCAGCTGAGGCAAGATTGTTAGCAACTAGTACTGATGAAATACCCAAATCTAGTAAAGGCAAGAGGAATATAGGGCTAAGTGGAATAGGAAATGTATTGAGTCAGCTAACAAAAAAACCCAAAATCAGTACATTGGAAAAAACCAAATTAGATTGGGATAACTTCAAAAAGGAAAATAATATTGAGGAAGATCTCCAAACTCATAACAAAGGAAAAGATGGGTGAGTACTTTCAAAGAGTTTCTTGAAACCTATTCTTTTAATAACAAAATGTTACAGTTATCTGGAAAGGCAAGATTTCTTGCAAAGGGCAGATCTGAGGAGATTTGAGATAGAAAAGAATATTCGTTCCATTGAGAGGAGTAAGAGATTCAATAGCACTCTATAACAATGAAACAATGATAGTGGTTACATTTTCATAATCCAGAAACATTTTTCTTGTATTTAATTTTACATTCCTGATCTGTAATATTATAATGATGCTAGTTTTATTCTTAAACTTTTCATTCTGATGATTTAGGTTTAGGACTCCTGGATGTATTGATGATTTAATGTGTTCTTTAGTGGTATAGTAATAAAGATATTTAATTTTGAAAAAGTTGTTTGGTTACATTGGAACTCCAGAAATGAAACTGTTTTTGATGATGTTTGAGGTGAAGAATAAATTTCAATAATTGAAAGTTATCCATTATTAGATTCATATATCTGATATCTCTTATCTGATAATTCTCTGATGTATTCCAGATAACCCTATCACTATTTTAATGCATATACCTAATTCAAAAATTTTGTGTACATTATCTTTGCTTTTATTATTGATAATTCAAGTTTTTGCCTTATAGAAATTGAATATTCAAAATCTACTTCGTTCACGATTTGTAATCAGGGCACTTCAGTGAATTTTAATAATCCAAATACATAACAAATGAAGAAATAACAATGTAGACCATCACTAGAATGCTCTAAGAGTCAACTCAAGCTAATATATTACCAGCAAATATTTCAAATAATTATGCAATTGTGTTCTCATAAATAGGAAATGGAACAGGACCCAAGATCGTTCCTTGTGGTACCCCAATACAATTTTATCTGCCGTTTGTGGTGGTCTGGCCTACCAATAATCCACGCCACTGGGCCAAATCCCATGAGTCATGTTCGAATTTTCGATCGATTCTCGGAACTTATTTCGTTGTTCGGAGCTATGAGCTAACTGGTGCTATCTAGTGAGAGATTTTTGACTCATTTCAACGCGCCGTGTTCGATTCAATATTCAATTTCCAATCCAGTTTGTTCGCGGTGCTGGTTGGGAGAGGACGTATATTGTTGGGCTGTTTGTATATTTAGACATTATTTGTTTATTTTCTTGCTCATTATGCTTTGGTGTGTACTTAGTTTGTTTATTCCGTTGTCGGTTTAATTGGAAATTATTTTGTGATGCCGCAACCGATGGATATCCCTTCCCAGCAGGTACGTGATAATCAATAACTAATTATTTTAGTATAATATTAGCTGTTTAGTGTTTGTACCATCAGAGATTAACCGAATGTCATTTATTGGAAATTTGTATCTATCATACTTCTACAAGAAAAGTGAATATTTCATACCTGCTAGATTATATATTATATATACAGGGTGTTTCAAAAAAACCTGACCCCCTAACTAGGGTAGGTAGAACACTGCAAAATAAGTTGGGTTTACTTAGTAAGAAAATTTCGTAACGGCATCCGTTATCAAGATACAAGATGTTGAAAAAATATTTTTTTTACACATTTTTCAAGATTTTGAAGAAACTACTGGCAACATTGTGATGACATTTTGTATGGATGTTTCTTGAAATCTGACACATCGCATGCATTCGTTTTTATATCTGACTCTCATAGAGGGCACTAGTTACACGGTTCGTACCAAGTAGTTTTGAACATAACTTTTTTGAGGTTAGATTTTTCGATCCAAATTTGATGTGAACTTAGACATCATTCAATTTAAAACCAAAAAGGTACTCTTGGTAAATCTCGATACTGTGTACCGTTTTCAGAATATTTCGATTTGAAAATGATGAAGTGATAACTGTTGCTGGTATAAAGCTATGTATTATAGTGAGTATTATGAAAAATCATCACCTATTTATTGAAAACAGAAAACAAGAATACATTTCTGATGCTAACCTTATTGATTTAACAATGAATCACAAGAATAACATGGAAACAGATTTGACTACGAACATGGATTACACTGTTTTGTTGTATCTTGAGCAGAAAGTTTATGCTACATAGGTAAATTCACGTCAAGAGTTGTAAGACATAATTGTACATCACTCAAATGACCTAACAGCTGATTCTCAACTGTTTAGAAGAATAATACATTCTCAAGAAAAGAAATTAGAATCGTGTATTCGTCGAAACGTAGGACATTTTGAACACTTACACTAACACTAACTGATTCAATATTTCATGTTTTTAGTCAAATATCTCTTAATTTACAACTTATGACTCTTTGTTCCATAAATAACTCCAGTGCAAGAATGATTTTATTGTTTTTGAATCTGAATAAATAGGTAATTGAACATTGAACTCAATAATATTCATTTTATACCAGCATCAGCTATTGCTCCATTATTTTCAAATCGAAATATTCCGAAAACGGAACATTGTATCGAGTTTCACCAAGTGTACCTTTTTGATGTAAAATTGAATGATGTTCAAGTTCATATCATAATTGGATTGAAAAATCTAACCTCAAAAAAGTTATGATCTAAACTACTCGGTACGAAACGTGTAACTCGCGCCCTCTATGAAAGTCAGATATAAAAACAAATTCATGCGATGTGTCAGATTTCAAGGAACACTCATACAAAATTTCATCACAATTTTGCCAGTAGTTTCGACATAATCGTGAAAAATGTGGACAAAAATAATTTTTTCAACACCTTGTATCTTGAAAACAGATGCCGTTACGACATTTTTTCACTGAGCAAACCCAACTTATTTTGCAGTGTTCTACCTACCCTAGCGAGGGGGTCAGGTTTTTTTGAAACACCCTGTATATATATAGGTAGGTACTTACATATATAGGTAGGTACTTACCCAGGTTTCAACCCCAGTTTGTGTACATTTTTTTTCCTATTTTGGACTGAATATATAGGGAAGGTATAAATATTTTCTAGATACCCATACTGGTGTACCTACCTATAGATTTATCTGTTAGATTTTCTTTATATATATAGTAGTGTCGTCATCAGTACCTATATCTATGAAATAATCTCGACTGGAACCTCTGGCTATTATTAAAGTACAAATAATGAAATAATATCTTATCTCATCTACTATATTATACGAGATATTATATTATATTAGTAGGTATGGCAAAAATAGAGAACCTACAGCAGAGGGACAACACGCAAGCGAGGAATAAATAAGACACACAGTTATTTCCTATTGGATATTGGAAAAATACAGAAAACAGAAAAAAAAATTTTTTTTAACGAAACATTCAAGAATAAAAACTTGTGGTAGCTCATAGCTTTTGGGATATTCAAAGAATAAAATATTCAGGTCCGTGTATGAAAAAAATTAGTTGATGATGGTGTCTGCTGGAAGACGAAACGTCGGTTTTTCCAAAAAAACGCCAACTTTATAGGGAAGAAAAAGTGGCAATTTATTATCATAATTTCTTCAAATAACTTGAAAAAAATTGTTTAGGAAATGTCGGTATTTAGCTCTCTTTCAAATACTTGTACGCTTTCTTATCTGAGCAGAATCCTCCAGCCCAAATGCAGTCTGAATGAATAGGCTTTGTTATTGACTCCACACGCCAGTATGTCCAGAGTCTTCACGTATATTTTGAACAACCCCTTAACTATTTTTTTTATAATCGAATTTTTCTTTCCGAAAAACCTCGCGAAAAACATTCTTTTATAATTTTCCCTGTAGATTTTGAATATGATAACAAAAAAACAATTGAACATCTCAAAAAAAGTTATGGGCAAGATGTATAATTTTTTAAATATAGAACACCCTCTATTTTATTGCAGTTTTAGATTCTCCCTGAAGAGTTGATTTCATCGATCTATCACAGTTGACATCTAGCTGAAATGATTACAGAGATATAGGCGGGTGTGTGAAAGATTGAGATTTTTTCAACTTTTGGAATGGGCGTGTACACCTTAGTAGAACTTTTTACTCAAACCATGTTTATAATGATCCTTTTATACATAAATAATGATTGACGACATAATTCGACCGAAAAATTAACTGGAATGTTTTATTTTTGGGCATAAATAATAGTACCTGCTGAAAACGGACCCTCTTATGACGTAGAAACCTCATCTCGCCATAGTTAAAAGAAAATACCAAACGACCGACGGAGACTGAGGCAACTGATATATTAATTCTTTCAACTGTGATCTCGCGCTAATTCACTCTGTCAGAAATCATGTATCATTCATCTCTGTCTGGAATAGTCTTGTTTCAGTATTATAGGGTTTTGACGTCACATCATCGCTTCGTTTTCAGAGGTCCGAAAAATCGGGGATTTCAATAATTTTTTATAAAACGTAGGGAGCTCACAGCAAGAAACGGTTTGCGGTGGTGAGCTAGTTTGGGTGAGTTCTATCGAATTATAAAATTTTTTTTTTTGTGATATAAGCCCATTGTTGGTGTCGAAACTATTTATTCCGATTTATTCATTATTGGCCAAAACGGTTTTCATGTCCCTGTCTCAACTTTAACATATAACAAAATTTACAGGAGAAATTATAAAAGACTGTTCTTTGGAAATAAAAATTCGATGATAAATAAAATAGTTAACGGGAGGGGGGGGGTTCAAAATATACGTGAAGACCCTGTACCTATGTATTGAATCTCAAGTCTACGAAATTCAGAATTATTCACAATTATAAATCATAACTTGCTATTTATTATATGATTCGAAAAAGGACTGGTGAGATCGAGTAATTATTTTTTTTTTCTAAATTTGAGCACAGGATAAGTTTTAGAAAAGTGAACATTATTTGGCCCAGAGTTAATAAGTTATAAGATCATTTCATTCCTCGCACTATAGTGAGAGAAATACTCGGAGAAATATAAGTCTGGTTAACGTCACAATCGTCACATGATCACATGTATGTATGTACAACATCGTCTGAGAGATAAACTGATCCAACATATGTGGTAGGTAACTGATAGGGACAAGAAGTATCGAGTTATATATGCTTCGGCTCGGGTATATATTGCTTTGAATTCTTTCGAGTGTTAGTCGTTAATTTTCAAATCGAAATCCCCTCACGGATATGTACCGACAAAGTACCCAATTTATCTACCCTAATGGAGTGTGTATGTCATTGCCATATTAGGTTTCACTTTGATGGGTGCCTAAGAGGCGGATGATGCCCTTGAAAGTGCCAACGAGAGTGAATGCGGTATAACTTGGGCCCCGGTTTTCATATGGCCCAAAATCAGGGTTGGCATGAATTAATTCATATGAATTAAATCAGCGATTAAATTCGTGAATTAATTCCATTGACTTTTTTCGAAAAAGTCATGAATTCATTCAAATTTTTAAAAATGAGACAAATTGCACTATTACCTTTGATTTTAACTAGTTTAAACTGAAAAATTCGATCGTATTTTGGCAAGACTTTGTTATTTCAAGCATGATAGAGATTTTTACTAACAGATATATATAGTATCAAGTATCATCCATAAAGTCCATAACATATTATCACAGCATCGAATTTTTTTCTCTCGGCGATCCATTTTATGCATATCCGATAACTTAAAAATCGATTTTGACACATGTCACGTGATCACTGGTATGGTGATAAATAAAAATAATACTATAAAGCAACGAAAAGTATGGTTAGATAACAAAATATCCATAAATATTTCTTATTACGTTGCTATTCCACATTCAGTTTCGAGCAATTTTTGGGGGAGAATTGGAAATAGCTATATGTATATGTTTTCGAATATTCTTCAATTTGATTACAATTTTTTTTTCTGACAGTAGTGATGTTGATGATATACAAGTTGAATAGAATTCAATTTCATGCTCACATATATGGAGTTTCCAGCCATTATTGGAGAAAACTGAAAATAGCTATTTTTTTTAAATAGCTTCATCTTCCCATCCAACCCCACTTTTTGCCATCGTAATTTTTTGAATTTACCGCCATACCAGTGATCAAGTGACATATGTCAAAATCGACTTTTAAGTAGTCAGACATGCATAATAGATCCCCGAGAAAAAATGTTTCGATATATTCTACTAATACACTTTTTCTCCATGTGTTACGAACTTTATGGATGATATACTGGATCTATATATGTATCTATTATTTTGTATTCTATCATCACTTTCAATCGAGCTTTTAATTTTGTTTTGAAAAAATGACATGTTATATTATGATGTTATTCTACAAGATTTCTGAAGGGAATAAAAACATAGTTTTTTTGTTTCTTTTTTTCTAT